AAAAAAAAAAAAAATGTAAATATAATAAACACCCGAAGGAATATTAATGACGAGCAGAGTAATTTGGTTTTTATTTTCGTTTCAGAAGTCGAGGTGAGATCACCTAGGTTTACGGGGTCAGGTTGGTTAGCTTTTCCTGCATTAAGAGCAGCTTACAAGCACGTGCAATTAGAGTTAGAATTTCGTCCGGAAGCATGGGACGGTGTATTGCTACTTGCTGGTGAACGGGACGACCTGCAAGGTGATTTTATGGCACTCATATTGCATCATGGTTTCATCGAATTCAGGTAATTATTTAATTAATTAAATAAATATTTTAATATCATTGTTATAAAGTATTTTATATGTACGAGAAAACGTAGAATTTTTCTTTCTTTTTATATTATATTTTATTTTTAATATGATTGTCTGATTAATTAAATTAATTAATAAATATTAAATGTAACATGTGTGACTGATTGTCAATTTTTTTGGTTAAATTTCTTACAATTTATTATGGTATTATATTGAGTGAAAAATTCTTATTGCATAAATGATATATTAATTGTTATACTTAATTAATAAATTTACTATATATGCAAATAATAATACATGATAGTAATTAATTAATTTAAAAAACATTACGAAATAATTCAAATGATAAATTCTTATTGCATATAATGACATATTTTTTGTTATACATTTTTTTATAACTGAAGCTTGGTACATTTAGTGTTATATTATTAACGAATTAATCAATTTCTAAAATATTACGATAATATAATTAACACGGATAAATACAATTTATTTTTCCTTATTTTATTCTGTATACAACGTTTCTATATATATATATATTACAGAATATTTCGTGCAAGAATATTTTTACGATTAACGTTAAGATAAACGATATCTAACTTGTGCTAAAGTTTAGATAATTATTTCTACATTATTTATATATTAAAGAGATTATACTTAATACAGTGTGCGTGCACTTATATATATATATATTATATTATCGCAAATTTATGTATAAGGCACATGTATGTACCACACAAATGTATACATATTTATTATTTATTTATTATTGAAATACGTGTCAAGCTAACATTCATTTTGTGAACTATATATATATAATATTAATATCATTGTGTGTGTTAAAGTATTTTATATAAGAGGAAACGTAGAATCTTTTTTTTTTTATAATATATTTTATTTTTAATA